AGTTTGCTACTAAGGGTTCCATTTCTGTAGTTTACTCATTAGTTTCCCATAAAATACCTATTTTGCATCTTTTGGATGATAGATGTAAAATAGTATTGGGTGTGAATCTTTAGGAGTTACGGTCAGCAATGTATGTATAAAACTTTTACAAGTATTATTTTATGAATATGTCGGAAGAAATAATTTGGAAGAGACAGTCAATTCAGACATTTTTTTCTAACTAATGGGGAATGAAACAAATACATTTCATTTATTTTTTTTTCTTCCTGAGACATGCCCCCCCCAACAGACTTATAGTCTTCAACCAAAATATAGTATAGAAACACAATTTCATGGTTGTCCTATCTCATGACTACTTGAGAAATGTCACCTGAGACATGAAATGGTGAGTTCCAGGAGCGTAGGCATCTCAATGTTCTCTTGCGGCTGCGAGGTCAGAGCAGGTGCTCAGTAAACCACTTTGGATCAACAGAAGCTGACGAGGTGATTTGGATATTTAAGCCCCAATTATTTTAAATTGGGTGTAATCAGGGCAAGTTTTCCCTTGAAGAATCCAAATTATTGTTTTGACTCTTCACTTTCATATAAAACCCTGAGCTTAACATGATCATTAAAGTCCTGTTTATTTTTTCCAAAGAATTGACTTCTAGGGGGATAATACTAGGAAAAATCATGTTAAGTAGAATACTTCGCTGCAGGACTTCCCAGAGCCATTGATGCTAATATGCGTTGGGAATCCCCAATAAGCATGTCTCAAACTTACTTGACACTGAAACCCCTTTTTACAGAGCGTTTGGGTTCTGTGGACTTTGGGGAAACCTGTTCTGTGTTGCATTTCACTTTCCCCATCTCTAAGAAGGCTCACAATTATCTGTTTTGAGAGCTTTTGCTTATTTGTGAAACACAATCAAGATGAGTATTGGAAAATCACTACATAAATTATTTAAAAATATTATTTATAAATAATATTTAAAGATGTTCAGATGAAGAAATCTCTGGTAATCAGGAGTAAAATGTTGCTCTACCTTCTAAAACTTTACTTTTCAAATTGCTACATCCTATGTCTGTCTTTAAATTTTTTTCTCTTTATTCTATCTAGATCAGTATTTAAAGTTACTGACCATGCGCATTTAGTATCTATTCTGAAGGCGAGCACCCATATAACACATGGAGCCATATCAGGACTTGTGAACTATTGGTTTCCTTCCATAGTCCTCCTTAAATATAAATAAGTTTTTAGCCATTTATCTAGTTTTTAAAAGAGAGAAAAAATTTTTTTTCTCCTTGAATTCCTGAAACTGAGGCAGCTGAGAAGCTGTGACCATAGCAGCTGTTGTATTTGCTTGTATTTTTCATTCTTAGACCTCTTCAGGTCTTTCTCTGGTTCAACATTTTGAATATCTTCTTGGGTACAATCAATACATCACCTAATAGATCTATGTCTTTTGTAACTGTTCTTCTCTCTAGATCTTAATGATATTCTCCTATCTCCTTTTCTCTATGCTCATGATTTCAGGTATGAGTTCTGTTACCTTTTGAATTGACTTCTTATGTAAGAAGAGAAGTATTAACGAGGACAGAGAAAAGAGACCCTTATTAAAGTGACTTCCACAATACCCATTTCTCTTGTTTTTTTCTTCCCTCGTTCTTTCCCTCCTCTTCCTCATCCCCCTTTCTCCTTGTTCTATTTTGGAACACCTACGGCTAAAGGAAAAAAAGTTTGTGAGGAAAAGGAAAGGTGTTGGTTAAATTAAGAAAATTAGTAAAAGTTTAAAATATTATTTTCAAAATGTGTTTCACCATTTGATGAAATTTTAACTCAGATGTTTGTAGGTCAAGAGAAGGTTTTCTATTTTAAGAAGCTTTCTATCTGAACTCATTCTGATCTTTCTTTAGCAGTATGTGATTTTTTACAGTCCCTTGAAAAGCTCCTTCTAACCCTTTTAGAAGATGGCAGTTGTGCTCATTGCAAACTGAAGCATCCAGAGTTGACTATGGGGAAAGCTAAGGGTACCTCCTCCCCTTGCTTGCATAATGGAGACGTGAAATTCTACCAAATGCATTGCAGTACACACACACCCACACACGCATTTATACATACATACATATACATACATACATGAATGTGGTTACCTTAGACTTGTGTCTGAAATTCCAGAGATTTTATATAGGAAAAGCAGAGATGCTGGCCCTTCCTTTCACACTTACAGTAAACCCTTATAAATATTGTTTTTAGATATTTGTAAATCTCATCTGTAGTCAACTTGTATTTCAATAAAGAGAGGAAATCTACACCATATCTATCTTCTTATGTATTCTAAATATAGTCTTAAGGCTTTCATGGGTGTAAATAAAAATTTTAACAATGGCTATATTTGGGTGATGAGATTGTGGACAATAATAATTATCTAAATAGCTTTTCAAGCGTTCATTTATTTTTTTATAATGAGCATGTCTCAGTTTTACAGTCAGAAAATAATGGTGATTTAAAATGACTCTCATTTATTTAAGAAAGCTCTTAGGAACTTTTAGAACTTATTCTTCCAGCCTTTTCATTACTGCTGCTCTTTTTATCTACAGAGTTCTCAAAGCTCAGAACTCACATGAGTCACAGAGGATGATTCTCTGCATTTGTCAGCTTGGGCTGTCAGGACAGAATTACCACAGACTGGGTGGCTTCAAAAACAGAAGCTTATTTTTTCAAAGTTCTAGAGGCTGAAAATCCAAGATCAGGGTGCCATGCTAGCATGATGGGGCTCTGGTAAGAGCTCTTTCCTGGCTGGCAGATGGCCATTGTCTCACTGTGTTCTTGCATAGGGGAGAGAGAGAGAGAGAGGGAGAGAGGGAGAGAGGGAGGGAGGGAGGGAGGGAGAGAGCGAGCAAGAGAGAGAACAAGCTTTTTAGGGTCTCTTCTGATGAGGGTACTAATCCCATCACAAGGACCCCATTCTAATAACCCCCTCTAACCTGGATTACCTCCGAAAGGCCTCATTTCTAAATCCCGTCACATTAGGGGTTAGGGCTTCAACATCGGAATTTTGGAGATACACAAACACCCAGTCTGTAACACTTCCCTCCCTCAAACTGGAAGGATACAAGATTCCCAGAAATTGCATCTAAAATAGAAAAAGACTGGCAGGCTATACATAAAAACATTAATGGTGGTTGTCTCTGGATGGTGGAATTAGAGGGGATTTTCTCCATTTTCTATGAGTTTAAGGTGTATTACTTTTATAACTGGAAACAATGCAGTAAGTATTATTTTTAAAGGAAAGTGAAATACTACTGAATGCAACATTCTGTAATAATCTTGCACATTTCACAGTCTCTTTATTCATCTTCTTGGGGTTTTTCTGAGAATTAATAAAAGTGTCTCCAGCACTTAGAGCACTTGGATCTTGGCACATAGTGGAGTTCAGTAAGTAGCTGTTGCTGCTCCTCGTTTTCCGTTTTCCGATGATGACAATGTTAATGATAATTATTATGTTGCCACATGAGACATGTCATCAGGCATGTAATACAGGAAAATAAGATAGAAAACAGCCACAAAGTCAGGACAGACACATTTGTTGCTAAGTTGTTGTTTGTTTTTTCTTTTAACGAGTTAGTTATAAATTGAATAGCCTATTAATTTTCTTTACTTTTGGAGCTCTTGTTTTTTCTTTTATTAAAAAATGAAGTATTAAAAAAAATAGGGCCAGCCAAGTGGCTCAGTTGGTTAAGAGCTCACTCAAGAGTGCAAGCTCTGAGCAACAGCGGTTCGAGTCCTTGCCCAAGCTGAGCTGCTGCTGAACTGCCAACAGATGGCAGGATGGCTCAGCTAAAAAAACCCCAAAAAAGCCAAAACAAAAAAGTAGTTGGTGGCTTGTTTTGAATTAACATTCAGTTATAAATGTAATGTAAGCTTCTTGAACCTGTACAATAAAATGTCAGATAGATAGATGGTGTTAGTGAAAAAACTTAAAGTGAAACTTTCCACATATTTTGTTCCAAAGACTGATTTGAGTCTACTACTCAACTTGGGGAGTAGTTTTTCACCCTATAAGAGCTATCTATTCTCTATTTTCTAATGCCCCATTTCTTATTATGCTCTATCTTGTGTGTAGAGTCTGTTATTTCCTTAAAAAAAATCCCTGAGTTTGTTTTTTTCTCAATTAGTCCCATATTCTAGTTTTTTGACTCTGTAAATCAATAGGTTTGAAATGCCCTGCAAGGTAGTAATGGTTTTTGTCACGCGGGGAGCTGACTGCCTGCCAGATAAATCTTGACATTGTGATATATGATTTCCAGTTGCTATAAATTTTTAATATTTAGTGTATCAGTCATACTAAGTCAAGTTTCAGTTATTTAATTTCACTTATGTCTGTATTTTAGATGAGAATCCTTTTTCCCATTAGTAGATTTTAATTTCCTTTCCTCTCACAGTCAAATTCCAAGCATGCCTTATAAAACCAGCCACAGAATATACACGTGAACAAACGGGTTTTGTGTTTACAAGTAGACTCAAGAATATACACTTGTATATTCTCAATTACAAATTTGTCCACTTAAATGGTGTTTTATTTTTTAGAGTTTAGATCACTTTTATTACTGTTGCTTTGGTAATTTTATTTCCAGGTATTAGACAAACCTATCTACGGAACTCTCTATATTGTATTGAGACGTGATCTTTATTGGGAGCTTAAAAATAATCTCACAACTGATCCTCAGAAGTGAAAAAAAATCTTCCAAATTCAGGGCTATGTCTACACCATCATTAATATATTACTACCAAAATTGCTTTCTGAAATTCTGTTTTGATGATACTGAAAAATAATTTTCTTTCTTTCTTTCTTTCTTTCTTTCTTTCTTTCTTTCTTTCTTTCTTTCTTTCTTTCTTTCTTTCTCTTTCTTTCTTTCTTTTGTTCCTTTCTTTCTTTCTTTCTTTCTTCCCCCCCCTCCCTTCCTCTCTCCCTCTCCTTTCTTTTTTCTTTCTTTCTTTTTTTTTTTTTTACAAACAGGACACAAAAATTGCTTCATTGGAGCGAAACATAAGGGACCTGGAGGATGAGATCCAGATGTTAAAAGCCAATGGTGTGCTGAACACTGAGGACCGTGAAGAAGAGATCAAACAAATAGAGGTTTACAAAAGTCACTCCAAGTTCATGAAAACCAAGGTATGGTCCAGAGTTATAAACTTTTATACTCTTAGTGTGACTGGAAAGTTATGGCTTACATACATACTTTTCCCAAATACCCATATAATTGGCTTTATGTGATATCATGAACTATATGAATAATAAAGAAGAATGCAAAGATTTTTAGTTCAGAAGCATAGATTCAAAAAAAATAATCAGGGAAAACCTGTGGTAGAATTTCTGCGTATGAAGTTATGAGGGTATTCAGGATTTTCTAATGAGTTTCTTTGGTGTCACGCTGTTGTGAGAATTAACATTTATTTTTAATAGTCCTCTTCCAAATTTCCTGAGTTTTTATAAGTGTGCTATTTTTTAAAGTTTCTATTATTGCCAAATTTTTTGCCCATCTCTAGAAGGTGATTGTGTCAAAAGATGGTGATGTTAGAAGCCAATTTAACTGATTTCAATGGTGTGAAGACATTTTGGTTTTAGTGTTTAAGACAGAAGTCATTTTGAGTCCCAGTGTTGCCGTTTTCACACATTCGTTATTCAACCTCTCTAAGCCTCAGTTTCTTCATCCATGAATTAGGGATAAGAAAAAGAAAAGTACCTATATCACTGGGTTCTTTGGCAGTTCCAAGAGATTATGCATTTTAAGCAACTTGCCTAATCTCTAGAAAGCATTCAGTAAATGTAAGGCATTGTTGTTGACAGTGATTGTTATTATTATTATAAGTTATATGTTGCTATGGAATATTTATTAAGATATTATTTCAGTACCAATTCCATTAATTTATTTCACTAGTGCCAGTTTTAAAGAATTTGGCTTATATTTTTTTCAAAATTAACCCAGGCTGCAAATGGACCATGCACCTATATAGCTATTATTTTTACATGTGCATGCATAATTATTAAATTTATGGATACCTCCAAACAGGTGTTTTGAGACTTTGAGGTGCTTTTATCTATTCCTCTCTTTAAATCATTTAGCTTCTGAAAATAATAACCACACCAATTAAAAAATTGTTTTGTCTACCACTTGCTCTTAACTATTCTTGGTCTTGCTCTAGGTCTTACTCTTGTTTCTTGCTTTATAAAGGCAGCTGTGACAAGCAATGCAGGCTCCTGTGAGAAAGCAGTGTGAGTAGGGAGGAAAATGTTCAAACGATGGTTATGATTTTTGTCAGTTGTGAAATACAGGCATACTCATTGCAGAAAATTTTCAAATTATGAAGAGGAAATAATATCTAGTATCTACTTCACCATGTATGTATGTATGTGTGTGTATATATGTATGTTTCTCCAATGGAAACAAAAACTGTGCTTGCTTCTGCCAACTTGCCATCTGTAAGCTGATGTTGAGATTTTGTCTGAAATTTGGATCAGGGAATGGAGATAGGAGAAGGAGAATGTCCACTGGATTTGACTCTAACCCCTCGTTTTCAGAGACTGCCACAAAATGCGGAATGGGGTTTCCTGCTCCGCCCTGCCTTCACGTTTCATTTTTGCAGCCCTTCCCTCTCAGAGAGTTGAGCTGAGCAGCGCAGTAGTGGGGTGGCCTGCAGACGATAACCAAAGCTCTCTGGGAATGAAGACCAGAGGCACAATAGGAGGGAACTCGTGAAGTTTGGGGGAAATTATTGTTTTGGCTTAAAGCTTTCTTCCTACCCTATCATTGAATGGTGGGAGAGAGTTCAAGCTGCTTCTACAATTGCAACTGCTATGCATTTGTAAACTTCACCCCTCACCATGGACTCTGTCCAGGTAAATAAAACATTTATATGGTCTTCAGCAAGTAAACCATGACCTTTATTGGCCCACGGTTGTTTGTGAGACCATCAATCCTCGAGTTAGTTTTAACTTTTAATGGCTAGTTATTTTGAAGGCTTCCAAAAAATGGTCAGGTCAGAAGAATGTTTGAGGAGAGTAATGGAGTACGGTGGGAGAGTGCAGCTGAAGACTAAAGCAGACTCTGGTAAATCTCTACCCTGCCCTTGCTAGGTGCATGGCCTTAGGGAGTGACTTAGGGCACTCAACCACTCTTTCCTCTTATATAAAACAGGGGCAACACCACCTACCATTGCTCAAAGGAGTAAATGAAATAATGTAGTTAAAATGCCTGCCTCAAAAAAATAGCTGTTCACCTTTAACAAATACACAGCCAGATATTTCTCCAGCAAAATGGATTTATTCAGGAACAACAAAGAATTACAATTTGGGACGTGTGGTCTAATGGTTAACCATGCATAAAAGTAAAGAGAAACAAAAGATAGGAATTCTATAGACTTGGGGGGGGCTGATGTAAATAAAGAGTCCATTGGAGGAAACTGGAAGTTTGAAGCATAGTGACTTTTCATTGGCTGAGTTATAGCAGGCTCCCATTGGCTGAGCTGTTACTGGACGGGGAGGAATTTCATCCTCCTGCTGCAGTAGTAGAGTATATCACTTCCTGTCAGAGAGTCAAGGTATCTCTTCCTGCTGGGGCCAGTAGAGGGATATGTGCATAAGAGTTTTCTCTTCTAGCCTCCCGACTCCCTTTTAAATGAGGTTTTTCTTTATTAATTTTCACAGAGCTGCTCATTGTATCCATTATTATTGAATTATAACCAAATATTATAATAATAATAATAATAATAATAATAATAATGTATTTAATTTGACTAATGGGGAAAAATAGATTTCTAAAAATGAGTTCTTACAATGTCATGCAGATATCCCTTATAGACTGATAAAAATTACCTAAAAAGTACTAGTAAGTAGTTTTTTATATTTTTTCCATTGAAAGAATGTTCTTATTGGATTGAACCATAACATTTATTGCTCATACTTCATACCATTACCTCAATTACTTATTTTTCCTACTTCTCCTGCTTTGAGAGGGAAACTTGATTCCTTATTTAAGCCCAGGCGTGGTCGAGCAGGTCTATTACAACATAGCTATTGCTAAGCATTTACTCCTGAGTGCTTGTGTTTTGTGCATTGTGGGATCCTTTAGGCTGTGTGAACAGATGCCAATTGGGTAAATCATTTATCAGGAAATTTATTAAGTTTTAGAGTCATGGATTGATATCCTCTAAAATTGGATCACTAAGCATATTTCATGGTCCCTTGTGGACTATTTTCTACAAAGTTTATATGAATATATTATGTGTCAAAATCATCACAGATATCTGAGGAGTTAATTTTTGCAATAGGTGGTCACACACGTTGACAAAACAATTGGTTAGTGTGACCATTGGGGTCTCTTGAATTCTTTCATTCATGCAGAGTTGTATGGATAGAGCTGTCGTTGGTGGAGTTTGAGTATTACAGTCCCCATAGATTTGTTTCTGGCACATGGCACTGAGTTAGCAACTGAGGGGCACTAAAAGCAGTGCATGTTAAAAGTATTGCCCACTCCCTCATACTGAGCCCTTAGTTGGGAAAGTAAGAAATATACTCAAAAAACGACCCTGAAGATTTGATGAGAGTTTACTTCTGGCTGGAGCAATGCAGGTTGTTTAGGTTTAAAGTTAGTGTTTCTTGTCTAAATGATCAGATTGGCAAAACAGCAATGACAGGTCTGGTGAAGAGTGCAAACTCAGCCCTATGTCAGAGCAAACCCCCAACTCCACACAGATAAGGAAGTATGGAGAACTCAAGTCTATGTGAAATAGCACGTTTTCCAAAAAGAGAAAAGAAATACTAGATTTAAATGGCAAAAAACTTAGAGGCTCTGAAACTTACTTGGGAAGTGGAAAAGTAATTGTTAAACTCTTTTGGTTTACTGAGGCAGTGAGAGAAAGGGAAATCATAAAATGACTAGATCCCAGCTGGCAGAAAATGCTAGATTTGAGGCTGGCACAGTTGACTTTACAAACTTTCGTTTTAATGGTTTATAAAGACTCAAAAAGTCATGGTAGAACATTTCAGAAATTCTATGGAATGCTGCATAAGGAAGGGAGTCGAACTCTTGGAAACCAAACCTAAAATTGCAGCTAAATATTGTTACTTCTTATTGCTGTTTGTAATGAATATGTAGAAAGCTTTTAAAAGTGGCCAGGGAGCTTCTGTTTTACCAGGGGCCTTTGAAGAGGCACCCTCAGAGTGCTCTTTGATCTGAGTATTTCTTTTGTATTTCTTCAGAAGTCTAAAGTATATTTTATCCTGATTATTTGGAAGTTTACAATTTTTTAAATAAAAAAGATAAAAGATAAAAAGATTTAACCAAATCATGAAGAAAGCCCCTAAAATTGTTCATGTATCCATGTTCTCACTTGCTTATATTTTTGAAATACTATTCGCTGACAATTATTTTTATGATCTATTAGTGATAAAATTGACTCAGCATTTGATTCCTCTTCATCAATAAGGTATGTTCTCAAATCAATCTCAATGTCAATGTGTAATGATTTGCTCCAAATTGACAATAAAGGCAGCTAATAATTCTTAAATACAAATTCATTTTTAGATATAGAAGTTTCTTGAAATAGATAATTTACAATTTTTCAGTGAAAATTTGACATAGAAACAATGTAACAATGTTGTGGTATGAAAAGGAAAAACCGTTTGCATTAATTGTGACGATGAATAAAGCATGTAGGTTGGAGGGGACGGAAGTATTTTTAATAGCCATGTGAAATGGGGTGCGCCTCCGTTTTGATGCTGAGCAGATTGCTGGGACTGGTAGGGCCTCTTGAAAACTCTGTGATTTAATTAGATAGCAGTGAACACCTAATTTGCTTTTGTAAATATGATGTCATAGAAAAACCATGATGTAACATTTTTTGAGAGCTGGAAGGTGAGTTGCAAAAATGTAAAAGCAGGGCTCGGAATCTCAGCTTGTGTAAAGGCAGGGATACTAGACATAGTCGGCCAGGGTAGAAATTCCTTCATCTTGCAAGCACTTTGGCACATGCGTGTTGTTCCTGAGAACCTAGACCCCGTGAAAGGCAATTTCTACCCCCACTCAGAAGGCTTAAAAGAATCAGATTGTGAGAGCAGCACTAAGAGGCCAAGAATAGTATGAGTTAACCTTCAAGGAGCACTGTTAAGCCTCT